AATCTACAGATTAGATCGATGGATTGCATTGATCCTCATCTTTAGTCAATAGAGTTTATAGATACTGAGGAACAGAAATCAGCAGACACAACTTACTTTTGAGTTTGCCCACACTTGAGTTTGCCCACACTTGAGTTTGCCCACACTAAGAAAAGTCACCTTTTCTTTGCCTGGAATTTTCTTTTTCTTTTCTTTCTTTCTTCCTTTTTTTTAAGCATCAGAAATCATGAAGGTCAAAGCAATTTGGTAAGATATATTGTTGAGTTTTTATCTTGCTACTAAAGTTATTTGGTTGCATTTTACAGGATGGCTCTGTGGTTTTTGTTTTAAACAAAAGAAAACAACAAATGAAATGTTGATTTTACTTCTCAGAAATACTAGAAGTTCCCATTTCTACTAACACCATTTATCTTGATTCTTTCCAAATTTTTGTCAAGATTTAATATAAAATCTACAAGCTATGAAGGAAGGCAAAGATAACATCCTAGAAATCCAAGAGTATCCAGCCACCAAGAAACAAGTATTGAGAATTGTTCAAACTATTTCTATCAAAAAGTCTGACTTCGGATCTGCTTACCCCCACAGATAAGTAGGAGCATTCCACCTCAAGGTTCCTTTGAACTGCAACGTCAGTGGTTCAAATTCACCAGTTGCTCCCTGGAAACCCTATATAGAATCCTGGTATGGCGCTATAGGATAAAGCACTGGACCGCAAGGTTGGTTTGAACTGTTAAGGTTGGTGGTTCATACCCATCAGCTGCTCCTTGGAAACTCCATCTAGGGTTGCTATGAGTTGCTGACTCTATGGCACTTAACACCAACCAGGTTAGTAAGAATACACTTTGATTCGGTGACATAATTTCGGATCTAACTCCTGGGTACAGAAATTTAAAGTCGTTTTGATTATGGCGGATTTCACGTTGGAATGCACTGTGAAGTTAGAAAAAGAAAGGCAGGTAAATATTGTGTTTTCAAAAAACTTTTTGACATCAACCTTTTGTTTTTTCAGACATACTTCAGAAAAAGTAACATCTCTTGTTCTTAGATGCCGGTTATGCACAAAGGCGCAAGCTGGGGTCGAGCACACAGTCGGATTGCAGCAGGTCCTTGGGAATGAATGTGAAGGATTTTACTACTAGTTCAGGACCACGTGTGAAATTTCACTTTTACCCTCTTGTGTACCACAGCAGCAAAATGAACTGGACTGCTACGTAGTAATTTTGAACTGCAAAGTCAGCGGTTCAAACCCACCAGCCACTTCTTAGGAACCGGCTCGAAGCATTTAACATTTTCATATACATGTTGTTGTTAAGTGCCGTCGAGTCGGTTTCGACTCATAGCGACCCCATATAGGGTTTCTGAGGAGTGGTTGGATGTGCACCCCCCTTTTGGGGGTGGGGGTGACTTGTATAAAAAGGCTTGGTCTATCAGGGGTGGACTGCTCAGTGGGTACTGGAGTCCCCTGCCTGCAGGGGGTCCTGAGGCCTGCGGTCGGCCACCCCGCTGCACCCCTCCCGCCGGTTGTGTCCGCATCAAGAGTGGGGAAACATTAGTGTGGGCCAGCTGCCAAAGCCGGGTGGGGTCGAGGGAGAGGTCAAGGTCGGCCGCGAGGCAGCTATTGATCTGGCTTAGAACGTGAGACAGGGAGCTCAGGAAAACTAAAGGGGGAGCTATGAGACCAGGCATTAACAGCTTTCAGCGCTAATGATGCCCGTGCCAGACGGGCAGAGGGAAAAGGAGGAGACTGGAGCGGCAGCTGGGATCGCTCGCTGCCTGCGCCCGGCCGCCTCGGGGAGAGGAGGCTGAAGCGGAGGAGGGCGCAGGGGCCGCCTCCCCCGGCCGCCGCGAGGTGGAGCGCGCCGGCGTGTCCAGCCCTGCGCCCGCCCGCGCGTCTTCTTCCCGCCGTCGGGGCAGCGCGGGGCCAATGAGGAAGTGCTCCTCGGCCACCCGGCCCGCGCCGCCCCCCTGCCTGCCACTTCCTGCCAGGGGTGGGGAAAGATGCCCCTTCCCCAGGCCCTGTGTCCCATGGCGCGCGTGCTGGGGCACCTGAACCCTCCTGCAGAGGGATCCCCTTTCTTTTAGCTCATGCTCTCCCTTGCCACAGAGGGGTCCCCCCGCCATCCTGTAATTCACTCTGGAGGGCTAGGGGAGGGGGTCAGGACTTCGGCCCGGACTTTACGCGGCGCGGGGCCGCAGGTACCTCGTGGGGGATGTGAGTCCAGCCCGGACCCCTACGTTCTATGCTGGGTGACAGTGGAACACACTCTAACCCTCTCTGGGCTGTACTGTTGTGTTTGAGAAAGCAGGATAATTGTCTTCCAAACTTCTGAGTCTGGGAGAGTCGTGGTGGTCGGTTACGGTTTTCTTAAGAACTTTATTAAACGTGCGTGTGGGCACTTTTTCTCACTTTTCCTACTTTCCTGGAACGAATTTTCACGCTGGAGAGCAAGACTCTTTTGGACTTTGGACCACGTGGAGGTTGGATGGGGGAAGATGTGAGTTCCGAGCCCCCTATGTCACATTTCCACCCCTTGGGCTCTGCCCTACGACCCCGTTGCCCGCAATCTGCAGAGATGCACGCGGGCGTAATTTTATTGCTGCTAATATTTTGAGGGGGTGGGATGGGCAACGAGCTCCTCTGGCTCTTTCTCAGGAGCGTTGAGCGCTGTAGGTGCCGGCGTCGCCCCACCCAAGACCTTCAGGCGAACAAAAACTCCGTCCGCCCCTCGAGGGAAGGCCCCCAGGGAGGCGGCGCGTTTAGAGACGACCCGGCCGGGGGCGGGGTAGTTGTAGCTGCATTGCCTCGAAGCCCTGCCCCGAGCCAGGCCCGTACCCGCCCAGGCCAAGGGAGAGAGGGTCGAGCGGCGTGGCGCGCCCAGCCCGGGAGGCCGTGGCCTGGCCTTGTTTCGGGCCACGGACTGGCCCCCACAACTCCTGTTCTCTTCGGCTGCAGATCAAACGGCTGACGAGGCCGCGATCTCATGTCGTGCCCAGGCAGATGAACGCGCGCTGGGGTGTAGGTGCCTCTTTCAAGGTGCATTCATTGTCCAGGGGGATCGGGGAGACCAGAAGGGGCCCCACTCCAAGAGCAGCAGCGATCAGGCCACCCCTACCTTAGGATCAGCACAATATAAGTTCGCCTCCCACTCAGAACTCCTTTGCCTTCACCCCCTCACTTCCCACGGACCCTGGCGATGGGAGGGGGCGTGTTCGAACCGAAGACTAAGTGAGTCGGGGGGGAGGAGAGATGGGGCAGTAAGGGCAGACTCAGGTGAACCTACTTCCAGCTGGGGACCTCACCGGTTACACATTCTTCAACCCCCCATGTATTCAGTTCGTTCCTTCTCTTACTATCTTATTTATCCCCCTCTGCCTCAGACTGTAATATTAGGATTTCAATGGAAACACTCTGGAACTTTAACCCCTGCTCCCCAATAAAACAAAAGTAAAAGCAACCCAGTTACTTTTCCCAGGAGATGAAGAATTGGCCACCTCTTCAGTCCCCAAGTGTGCCCAGTTCCCCTCCCCCAAGCCAAAATAAGCTTGTGGGTGGGTGGGGACTTGTATTGAACCTACTTAATCCACGCACCCAGTACTCCGCCCCCGATCTCTGGGGGTCCTGCCCCCAGGAGGAGAGGAGGGATGAAGAGAAGGCTTTGCTTTTAAAAATATCCTACCCATCGCCCCCTCCCCCCGGGGGCTTTACACCACCCATGCTTCGGGAGAAGGGGAACATACAAAAACGCGGTTTGCACGTGTGGTCGGCCTGGGCTGCGGGCGTGCGCTTGGGCGAGTGTGTGTGAGCGCGCGCGAGTGTCTGTGTGTGTGTGCTTTCTTGTTCGCTTGCAGGGTACAATGTTAAAAAGCCACCGCTAGTCGCCCCCAGTGCTCCGACTCTCTGGGTCTTTTTGTCTCTAGTGCAGATTAAACGTCACGTCCGCACTTGAACTTGAATTTTATCCCATTGTACAGAGGCAGCCCCAGCCATAGAGAGACCGAGAGCTCCCAGAGAACCCGGACTCCGCCATCTTCACGTTGCAATCTATAGCTCCCAGTCCGCGCCCGCACCGACCCAGGCGCACTGGGCGAGCCGCCCCTCCGCCCCGCTCCCCCCGGGCCCGCGGCGCCAGGGGAGCGCTGGGGAGCGCTTGCGGGGACTCGGCAGCCCCTCCGGCCGGCGCCAGCCTGCCAGGTGAACTGAAAAGGAGCGGTTCCTGGAGTTCCCCAGAGCCTCCGGAGGGTCAGGGCTCGGAGAAAAAACAGGCAGCCCGCAGAAAAACCCAGAAACCACCGAATCGGGGCAGTTTTACATTGCTTTGGGTTTTTTGAGGGGGCGGGGTAAGGGGGTACGAGACTAGTCCCCAAGTTTTCTTTGCTTTTTTTTCTGCTTTTAGTATTTTTTTGTTTTTGTTTTTTATTGCTTTGCTTTTTTTTTTTCCCCCCCTTTTTTTACCCTCCTGGTAGAAGTGCGCGCTCCACCTACCAGACCCCAAAGGAAAGTGTCTGGAACGGGTGCAAAATCCGGTTAAGTTCAAGAAGACGTTTGCAAGTCCAAGAGGCCAAGGAACCAGTTGGAAGAAGTAGAAGAGATTTTCTTTTTTCCTTCAAAGGAATATATTTTTAAAGAAACCAGCCAGTCCGCGGTCAGCAGCAGCAGTTTCTTTCTCTCTCTCTCTCTCTCTTTTTTTTTTTTTTTGGCCTCTTTCTTATTTTAGAGCGGCTTTGCTCTCTTTTTGTTTTTCTCCTTTTTCTTTTTGCAAACAAAACAAAAAACAGCATAGAAGAACGAGCAAAATAAAGAAGAGGAGCAGGAGGAAGAGAGGGCAAGAGAGAAAAGAAAAAAAACAAAACAAAACAAAACACACACACACACCAACCCCGGCCAAAGAGGAGGCGCGGCGGTAGCGGCGGCGGCGGCGGCAGCAGCACGACCCCCTCCGCGGCTCCCCATTCGAGCAGCTCTTCGGGCTGATGCCAGAATAGATGCCGGGGCAATGTCCCGCCGCAAACAGGGCAACCCGCAGCACGTGTCCCAGAGGGAGCTCCTCACCCGTAAGTGTCTGCGGCTTGCGCGCCAGGGGCCGGAGGAGGGCTTCGGGTGCCCAGGGCTGGGGACCGCGCGTCGGCTGGCAGAGCCGCGGCGTTGGCCGGAGACCGGCGAGGGGCGGAGGGCCCGGGCAAAGTTTCTCGGCGCTCGGGAGTCGGGCGCTGCGCAGCCGGTGGCGCCGCGGACTCCGGGGCCCTGGGAGCGGGCGCCGGGCTCAGGGAAGGGGACGCACAGGCTGGGGCGCGCCGGCTGGACGCTCGCCCCTGCAAGCGGCGTGTGTGGCGGCGGCGGCGCTGGTGGCGGGGTTTGGAGAGGAGGGGGAGGGGGCTAGGGGAGAGAAGGGGGAGGGGGAGCCGGGAAGTGGGGAAAAGTTGGTGAGCGCGTGGGTCCGCGCTGACGGCGCGGGCGGCGGAGAGCGGGGTACGCGCGGGGCTGGGGGAGCCGCAGGCCGGTCGCCAGTGCGGGCCCGGGATCGCGGCGCTCGGGGCTGGGAAGGGAGCCGGCCACGCCGGTCCGGGGATGCTGCCGCCGCCGCCGCCGCCTTTCTCCTCCCCTCTCGGCGCAATTTGCAAAAGAATTCGGCAGCTCGACTGTTTGTCGGGCTCCAGCACCCCCTCCCTGCATTTCCCCACCTCCGTTTGTCTCCTGGGATGAGCTTGTCTTCGTTCCCCCACTCCCAAAAAGGTGGGGGGATTGGGGCTGGTGAAAAATCCCCGCCACGGGAAAAAAAAAAAAAAAA